GTGTGTGTTTGTGTGTATGTATGTATGTATGTATGTGTGTGTGTGCATGCATGTTTCCCTTCTTCGGATTTCTGATGTGAGACTATGTATTGCCTGTGTTTCAATGAGTGTATTTAATTACCATAGATTGGAACTATGTTTTTAGTAGTTAGAAATCTAGGGATGGATTTTTGGTTAGAAATTGTTTAAATTATATTTTGTCATGACATGTCTTGTAAGATTTTCTGGCTATAGTAGTCTGGGCTAGCATCCATGGTCTCTTAGAGTCTACAGCATGTCCGTCCAGGCCATTTTGGCTTTTATGGACTCTGCTGACAAGTTAGTTGTAACTCTTATAGGTCTGCCTTTAGATGTTACTTAACCTTTTTCCCTTGAAGCTTGTAATATTCTTTCTTTGTTCTGTATTTTTGTGTTTTGATTTTTATATGATATGGGGGCTTTCTCTTCTGATCAAATTATTTGTTGTTCTGTAAGCTTCTTCTACCTTTATAGGCATGTTTGCTTAGGGGAGTTTCCTTCTATGGCTTTGTTAAATATATTTTCTGGTTTTTTCAGTGTGCACTCTTTTTTTTTTCAAATTTTTCTCAGGTTTGTTTTATTTCATGTGTCCCAGATTTCCTGGATGTTTTGTGTTAGAAGTCCTTTAGATATTACATGTTTTTTTGATAAATGAATCTAATTCTTTTATTGTATCTTCAACACCTTTGAGTCTCTCCTCCATTTCTTGAATTCTTTGGTGATGTTTGTTTTTATAGTTCCTGTTCACTTCTCCAGATATTCTATTTCCTGAATTCCCTCAATTTGTCTTTCCTTTATTGCTTTTATTTAGATTTTCATGTCTTGAATAATTTTCTTCAGGTGTTTGTATGCTTGTATGATTTTTCTTGGCTTTCTTGTCATTCTTTAAGGGATTTGCTCACTTCTTCCAATTTTGTGGCTGTCTTTTCCTAGGATGATTTAAGGAAGTTTTACTTCTCCTCTTTGAGGACCTCTATCATCATCATAAATTTGGTTTTAAGATTATTTTCTTTTAGTTCAACTGTTGGAATATTCAGGGTTTGTTGTACTGAGATAGCTATGTTCTGGTTGTGGCATATTGCTCTGGGTATTGTTGTTTGTGTTCTTTCACATATGTTTAGACATCTGAATTTGGAATGATTATAAATCTAGTTGCCAATTTTTCAAAATTATTCTTTGTTGGATGAGTGCTTTCTTCCTTTGTTTCTGTTTCCTCTCTTGTTTATTGGATTCCTCGGCCTGTTGTTAAGCTAGATGTCTGATGGCTTAGATGGCCTCTGATATACCAGGGAGTTCTTCCCCATGTTTGGGTCTGATACTCTGGCTATGAATGCACATGGCCTCTGATTTGGCCCGAGAGTCTTCTGGGATTCAGATGCAGTTCTGGCTTCTGGTGCGGTAGGAGGCTTCTGCCTGTTTTTCAGGGATTTGGCCTGGTCTCTAAGATTCAAGATGCTGGTGTGACCTCTGGGGATCAGGGTTCTTTCCTGGCCTTGGATGGAGTAGAAGCCTTCTGCCAGAGGTGTGGGTCAGGACATAGTGATGAGGAGAGGAAGGGCAATTGGAATTATGCTGGGCAAGTGCTGGTGGTTTGGGGAGCAGTCTTATCTGGGATTCAGGATGCTGGCCTGGCCTCTGGTGGAAAAAGAGGCTTCTGCCAGAGGTGTGGGCCATAATATGGTTCCAATTATCTATTGTGAACACCGATGTTAGATTCAATTTTATATAATGAAATTCACTCTGATGTACCACAATTTTCTTAATTCTTTAATAAAAATTAATTTTAGAATGGAATATCAGTATTCTTTTGTATTTCATAGTCTCTAGAATAAATGCATGATTCTTTGTAGTTATTTTTTTTATAAAATTAGCTAGATTCTTTTCATGATACTTCTCAATTAAGTGAAAATATTAATTTATTAGTATTAACTTACAATAACATCCTTTCAGTTTTTGCTTTAGTATCTATTAGCCTTCTTGACACTGCTAATTTGTACTTTCTCCTCTTTTCTACATAGTTCTTGCCATAAAATTAACTGCTATATAACTTTTGTTTTACTTGTAATAATTTTTTTACTTTTTGCTTGTTTAATTTAAATTTCTATTCCACTAAATTTTTCTGATATAAGTATATATCATTGAAATTATAGCTGGATTCTTTTTGTGTATTCATTTATAATTTTATTTTTTTCTCTATGATATTTTAAAATACAGTCACAGAATTTGATATTTTTTGTTTTCAAGAAGTAGGTATCATTTGATGCTATCACATTTAAACATGTAAACATATTCAAGTTAAAATGGATATATTTCAAAATAATGACATTAAAATAATGATATAAAAATAAAAAAATTAAAATTTACACAAAATAGAAAAATAAAGTGTAAAGTTTAAGAGAAATTATTGTTGATTCTTGTTTTATATATGTATGTATTTTTAAGCTTGCGTGTAAGCACACCATGAGCTTTTAATACTTAGGGAGACCACAAAATGTCATATTCCCTGGAACTAGAGGTACAGCTGTCTCTATGCTGCCATGCTGGTGCTGCAAATTGAACCCAGGACTTCTGCAAAAGTAGCATGTGCTCTTAACCACTGAGTCATCACTCTATCCCATTAACTCAAAAATTTTGCATTTGGAGAGGGGACAAATTTAATCTAGGCAAATGACTTTTTAGCTGCAGGAAATCTGTAGCATTTTGAGTAATAAAAAATAGAACAAGTCTTGAATGTATCATGTTAGGAAGTAAAACCTTCCTAAGAAATTTGGTGCTTAAACTCAACTGTGACTTTTCAAAAAATAATTGGTTGGTCAAATACATTAGAAACTCCAAAGTAATAATGTCTGGTCACAGTGAAGAATCAGAAGTCAGGGAACTTGTAATTTCTATACAATGACATCTTTGAAAATTGTGTACCTTTAGTACATTAGTCAATGATTTAAATTGATTAGAATGATTGATTGATTAAATTAATTATTAAATTAAAAATATGTGTTACTATATTTTTCATAAAATTTGAATGCATATTTTTGCTTTGTAATGTCACAAAATTAAAAGGATTTGATCAGGATTTTTGAATGCATACTAAGAGCACATGTGAAACTAGTTTCTACTGATAGAATCAGTCCATACTTTGAAACAAAGCATAAAATAAAACTTTACAGATTAACAAAACTTTTCAGTATTAAAAGTCTGGGTAGAGGGATTAGAGAAATGGCTCAGCATTTAATAACACTAGCTGCTCTTGAGAGAACACAGATTTTATTTCTAACACAATGTTATGGCTTACAACCTTCTGTAACTCCAGTTCTAGAAGATCTTGTACTATCTTCTGGCTTCTCTTGGAATGAGGAATGGGAAAAAACAGAATACAATATTTTTAAGAAAGTCTGATGTTTCTGAAATTCAAAATAGACTCTCTCTCTCTCTCTCTCTCTCTCTCTCTCTCTCTCTCTCGCTCTCTCACTCTCTCTCTCTCGACTTATATCATTGTCAAGCTCTGGCTTTGGTGTAAGTCAAATTTCTTTGTGTTTTATTTTTCAATTTTCATATTTTTCTTTCGTTTTTTTATTAAAAAATTTTCTACTCACTCCACATATTATCCACAGATCTCCCCTCCTCCCACTCCCCAGTCCTCTTTCCCATGCCACCTCACTTCCCCACATCCCCCAAATTGAGGTTTCTCATGGGGAGTCAGCAAAACCCAGCACACTGAGCCTAGGCAGGTCCAAGCCCCTTCCCACTGCACCAAGGCTGTGCAAGGTGTTACACGACAGGCACCAGGTTCCAGAAGCCTATCAATAGACCAGGGACACAGATCCTGATCCCCCTGCCTGGGTACCCCCCAAACAGTTTGAGCCAAACAACTGTCTTCCATATCCAGAGGGCTTAGTCCAGTCCCATGGGTGCTCCACAGCCACCAGTCCACAGTTCATGGGTTTTCTCTAGTGTGGCCGGTCATCTCTGCATGTCCTCCCATCATGATCTCGATGTCCCTCACCTGCAGTATCTCTCCTCTCTCTCATCAATTGGATTCCCAGAGCTTAGCCTGGTGGCTGGTGGTGGATCTAAACAACCCATTTAAAAATGGGCTACAGAGCTTAACAGAGAATTCTCAACAGAAGAATCTCAAGTGGTTGAAAGGCATTTAAGAAATTGCTCAACATCTTTAGTCATCAGGGAAATGCAAATCAAAACAACTCTGAGATACCATCTTTCACCTGTCAGAATGACTAAGATCAAAAACACTGAAGACAGCTTATTTTGGAGAGGATGTGAAGCAAGGGGAACACTCCTCCACTGTTGGTGGGAATGCAAGGTTATACAACCACTCTGGAAATCAGCATGGCAGTTTCTCAGAAAATTGGGAATAAGTCTTTCTCAAGACCCAGTTATACCACTCTTGGGCATACACCCAAGGAATGCTCAATCTTACCACAAGGACACATGCTCAACTATGTTCATAGCAGCATTATTCATAATAGCCAGAACCTGGAAACAACCTAGATGGCCCTCAACTGATGAATGGATAAAGAAAATGTGGCACATATATACACAATGGGATACTACTCAGCAGTAAAAAACAATATCATAAAATTTGCAGGCAAATAGATGGAACTAGAAAATATCATCTTGAGTGAGGTAACCCAGACTCAGAAGGACAAACATAGTATGTACTCACTCATAAGTGGATACTAAATGTGAGGGAAGGAATGGCCAGACTGCAACCCACAACTCCAGAGAGGCTAGCTAATAGGGAAAGATCCTAGGAGGGACACATGGATGACCCTGTGAAGGAGAAGTGGATGAGATCTACATGAGTGGACTGGATGTGGGGGTGTGGTGGAGGGTGAGGAGTGGGGGATGAGAACATAGGAAAATGGGAGGGTCAATTTTCATATTATTATTGAAAATAATATGAACTAGACAAAGTCATTCTAGAATAGCATGACATTATATTATGCTTTTGTCTCCTGCAGGTGCTCCAAGTGATCAAAGCAGTGGTACCTCTTCTCCTCTTTGTGACAGTGGCTTGCACCTCAACTACCATCCAAACAACACAGTAAGACAGCTGGACACAGTTGAGACTTATTAATAAGGATGATCTAAAAACATAAAATATACCTGTACTGGTGATTTGCTAGTACTATTGCTGAGTCTAATTTTTCTGATAAACCTGAACTCCTCATGAGTTCACTATCATTTAAGTGTTAAGAAAAGTCAGAAGGAAAAACAAGCAGCCAGTTATTTTACCTGATATTCATTCTTTTTTCCAGGCATGCATTCTTAAATCCTCTGTAAGTGTTGGAGACTTTGGACTAGGACACTCAGAGGGATAACATCATTTTAGGGCATTGCATGCAACATATAGTTTCATGAACTGCATGATTTAACATGATTTTATGGCTTTTATTTTGATACCAGTTAGCCAAATATAACCATAACTTGTCATTTTTTGTAATCTTTATGCATACCATGGAATTACTACAAGGAAAGAAAAATCTAGCATATACATTATGATAAGGAACAATGAACTACATGTATAATCAACAAAATATGCATTTAGTACATTAGCTTTAAGGAATTAAATTGAATTTTTAGTGTTTATTTTCCACATTTGTTTCTGAGTAAATTAGTTATTTTTATTAAATATTTTTGATATTTCTTATTTTAGCATTCAAAACACATTCTAAAGAAAAAAACTGTTCTCTCTGGTTTCAAGTAGACTTAAGTATGAACTACCAAAATTGACATGCAATACATATATATTTTTCTGATCTCTAAAAAAGCACTAGTCATTCAATATTAGAAATAATGATCTAATTATGGAATTTTGTTTCAAAAGACTACCTTTGAACATTTGCAAGTCCAAGTAACTTTTGATGTTTCTCATTATATTGGCATTATTCTATAGCTGGATGACATAAGTTTTTCAGGTTTATTATCAAATTTATTTATTCATTTATTTTGTAATTAGCAACATTTTTTAACTTATAGCACGAAAGAAAAATTTTTCAATTTTTTATTAATAATCCTTACTGTTTTATTTGTAAACAGTAAGGAGTCTCTCATTACAATGTTTCCATACATGTATATGGCATTCCATGATTACATACACCGTTCTGTCACCTTTTATTATCCTCTTCTCCATCACTTTTTATTATTCCATATCCATAACTATCTCCCTTTTATCTTCCTACCTTTCCCACCCTAGGTTCTATATATGAGAGAAAACACACTTACATATCTGCATGACACTGACTTATTTCACTTAACAAGACATCCTCTAGTTCTATCTATTTTCTTACAAAGAATATAGTTTCTCTACCCTATCTCATTTATGGCTGAATAAAATTCCATTGTGTATATTTAACACACATTCTTTATCCATTACTTCTTAATTTCTTTTTTAATTCTTTTCTCATATTACATCACAACTCCATTTTCCCCTCTCCCCCTCCACACAGGGCCATGCCCCCTGCATCCCCTCAGACAGGAGCAGGTCTCCCAGAGATGTAAACCAAACAAGGCATAACAAACTACAATATGACCAGGAACATATCATTACATCAAAGCTGAATGAGGCAACCCACTATGAGGAAAAGGGTCCCAAAAGCAGGCAAAAGATTCAGAGACAGTTCCTGCTCCCATTGTTAGGAACCCCAAAAGAACACAAAGCTACTCTGACAATACATAAATGCAGAAGACCTAGATCAGACCCCTACTGTCTCCGTGATCGCTAAAAGTCACCGTGGGTTACAATCAGTTGAGTCTGTGGACCATATTCTTGTGGTGTTCTGTAGATGAATTCCTAAATGGTCTTATTAAATAAAAACACAGAGCCAAATATAGGGATGAAAGCCTTAGAGAGATCAGGGAGATGCTACCAGCTGCCTTACCTCACCCACTCTGTAGCTTCCAAATGTGAGCTACTTCCTATCTACCCACACGTTTCTATGCCTTGCTTTTCTGTCCTCTTATTGGCTCTTAGCCCATCTACCTCACCTCCTTGTGACTGACTGTCTATACAGACCTCCAAGTCTCTATGGTTGGTACTGAGATTAAAGGTGTGTTTCACCACGCTTGGCTCTCTTCCCTAGTATGGCCTTGAACACACAGAGACACTGCCTGATATGTGATGGAATAAGGGCATGTGCTGCCTAACATTGCTTACTTAAAATAGATGTCCTTCCCCCCCACGACTGATCTCCAGTCAAGCTTTATTTATCAAAGCACAACTAACATATAACCACATTTCATCACAAAATAAAATATCATCACAGTGTTCCTAACCAACCTTGTTCATGCAGAATTTTTTTTCTTTAAAAACTTTATTATTCATTTTACAGACTAACCACAGATCCCCCTCTCATCCCCCCTCTCACTCTCCCCCAGCTTCCCCCTTCCCTAAAATACACCCTGTTCCTTCTTCCAAAAGGATAATGCCTCCCATGGGCAGTCAGCAAAGCCTGGTACATTCAGTTGAGGCAGGACCAAGCCCCTCCTCCCTGCATCAAAGGTAGTCAAGGCATCCCACCATGATTAATGGACTCCAGAAAGCCAATTCATGCACCACAGATAGATCCTAATCCCACTGCCAGGGCCCTCTCAAACAGACCAAGCTACACAACTGTCTCCTGTATGCAGAGGGTCTAGTCTGGCCCCATGCAAGCTCCACAGCTGTCAGTCTAAAGTTCGTGACTTTGTGAGGAACATTTATAAGAGCAATGGCTATTGGTGGAAACATAAGACTCTTATCAGTCCAACAACTTCTGGATATAGTTCATTAAAATTCCATTAAATTTTACTTACAGCAGAAATAATTGTTTTATAATAGATAAAACCAAAACACTGATCTCCTAATGATACCAAGATCTGAAAACTATGGTGTTCAAGTGAGCAAAAGAGTTACACACACAAAGAAACAGTGATATAGTCCTTGTTACAAATGATTGTGTTTGTGTGTATGTTTGTGGGTGTGTGTGTGGAGGTGTGGGTGTGTATGTCTGATTGTCTGTGTTGCTTAGTTGAATCAAGGGCATCATGCATATTAGGCAAGTGATGTTCCACTGAGCTTCCTTTGCCCCATTTGCTTACACACACACATACACACACACACACACTCACACGCACATGCACACGCACACACACATACACACACACACACACACACACACACACACACACACACACACACACACACACTTTTTTTTGCTGAACATCCTTTCCTTGGTGCCCATTATCCTCATTTACTGTGCTTGTGCTGGTGATGTGACAGCTCCATTCAAGTGTTTGCCTGAGATTCACAGGCCCTGAACTTCAGTCTATGTATTCTGTGTGATTGGTACAGGCAACAAGAAAGGCCTCCTCTGGATAACCACCAGAAGAGATGGAACAAATCTTTGCCAGTTAGTTGGTTACATCATCCTGTGCATCCTCCAATCTTTCAGGTTTCCTCTGAGATCCCCATTAGTTATGTTCATAAGACAGAAAAAGTATCCCATGTTCTTAATCTAGATTTTGTCTAAAGTCCTTTACTTCCTCTGTAGTAATGGCAAGTAGAGAAATCATGATTAAAGGTTTAAGGGAAGGAATCATTATGGTTTCTTTTCTACTCATTGACTTGCTTTATAATAAAATTACAATGACATTCTTTAGAAACCTACCATTTGGGCATAGCAATTACTACTAATTTTGCAGCCTCACTGTTTTTAGCATAGACAGTTGTATAGAGTTTGAATACCATATACCACATACATTCTATACTGATATAGGTTCATTCACATTGTATTATTATTCTCATCATTAATATTGGAATATATTATTACATTGCTGGATGTATTTTACTGTAATGAAAGCTTATAATGGTGATATAAAGAAGAATAATCAACATGAAAATTTAAATAAAGCACATTTATAATGAGAAAGTGCTTGTCTATTTCCATTAAATGAAGTCTTCCTGAACTCTATAGAGGCATTTTATGGGGTACTATAGGGAGTAGTTAATTATGGTTTCTGAGCTCAAGAATTTTAATCAAGTTTGATGTAAAGAATAAAAGAACTAGAGGGCTGAGAAGACTCTAAACATGGATATAATTGAGATCTGAAAGCTGTAAGACTACTACCAAATGTGGCTTTGCTCCTCTTGAGGGCATCTATTGATTCTGCTGTCTGACCTGAGTGCAGCTGGCTCAACTCAATTTCCCTTCCATGCTGTGGATAAGCTTCAATACAGTAGGGGGGACTAGGAATTCTCTCTATTCTCAGATTTACAGTTATTGTAACTTTGTTTAAAAACAAAGAGATTAAATGGAACTGCATTTTGAATATCTATGTACTGTTTTTAAAACAAATTTTGAGTAACTGGATATTGTTTTGCTGAAATATCCTTATGAAAACTCTTTAAAATCCAAGAGAAATCAAGCATTAAATATGAAATTTAGGTTGCTATTTTTTAGTGCCTATTCCTTCATGGACAAAAATGTCACCAATTTCAAGGACACAAATATCTCTTGTTTTACGGAAGCAGAGTTATCTGAGCCAAAACCCAATGCTTAATTTCCCTCCTAGAGGCAAAATGAAGAAATTTGTTTTGAGAAAATAACACTTACTCAGAGAGTCAGATAACACAACTTTAAAAATATTTTCCTCATCCTTATACCCAGAGTCAGTTTTCTATGCCTACTTATTCTAAAATATATCTGGACTGGCATTTTGTTCCACATTCAGTTCTATTTTGTCAATTTGGTTGTTTTTCAACGCCATTATGTAATGTGTATTAAGTGTTGGAGAAAATTCTGTTGTAAGCAATTTATTATGTAAACACTGCCTGTTACATGCACCTGGTTAATATTTGAAGAAAACAAAATTCTTGATATTGTGAAGTAAATTTCTGGAAAATGTGCTTCTCAAAACCTTGTAGTTATTGTTTTAGGCCACTATATAAGTGACCATAAATATGTGACAACTGTTAGTAAAAGTAAAAGAAGCCCTAAACTATATATCTTCATGATTAAAATAAATTAGAATTATCTTTATTGATATTAAATATTCAACTGTGAA